AGGCTTCTACGAAGAATACGATAAATGACATTTCAGACTCAGAGAGTTTGAAATTCAGATGTCAGATCGAAAATTCTTACCAATGGACAAAAAGTTAGATATAATAATACATGTATATAGGGTCGGCAGGTTTTAAAGATCAGTCAGAAAACCGGAAACACAGAATTTTTTTCCCAGGGCCTACATTGTACTCATTTTTACATGTGTCAGTTTGTAGTCGGAGTTTCAAAACGTATAGTGCATTTGGTAGGTGGTCGAGTTCAATGTAATTTGTAATACGGTCGTTCCTGAATTTTCTATAATGTCTTGCCATAAAGCTACATGTAAGAGAATTGTGTTGTCAAAAGTGCAAATTAAGAGTCATTAGACTGATTGGCAGAATGACCTACTTTCTTCCAGTGCTGACCTATAATTAAAAGCTATCATTAAAACTAAGTGCCAAATGTTGAGACTTATCCATGTGACCAGAGTGAATTGTCTAACAACCGGGTATACCACAATGCACACAATGCAGGGCTCAAAATACTGGGTGCATGTGCACCTTAGTGCACTCAAAATTGGAGCTGTGCACCCAATTTTTTCTGTCGGTGCTCTGGTGCACCCAAATATTTTTGTAGGTATTTTTTACATATCAAATGTATAATTTATACAGCATATTCTTGGCATCTAAGTGCCAGAAAAATAATAAAATCTTTCTCGTCGTACTTGTTTAAGATTTTGAAGTTAGCTCCCATTTCGGATTCAAGCTCAGAAGAGAAGCAGTAAGATCTCTAATTTTTAGTACCATAGATCTCTAATTGTGTTGTGTTTAATATATGGTGCACCCAAAAAATTTTTTGTGCACCTAATTTTTTAGGTTAGGTGCACCAGTGCTCCTATTACCAAAAAAGCATTTCGAGCCTTTCAATGTATGCTTGGTGTCACATAGAAAGTTACATTTCAACAAGTTAAACCAAAAACATGATTCCCTTGAAAAAAACCTATTCAGACAGTAAATACCGGTAGCCATACAACCTAATTGCTGACCTATTAAAACACAGAGTATGAAGCAGACGTGACTTCCAGTTGACTCACATTGTCTGACACTCACAATATACATGTACATGAGCTTGGCGTCACTGATACTGCAAAAAATTTCGGCAAGCAAAAAGTTACCAAAAAACACCACAAAACCCTCTGAAAAACCTGTAACAGTGACATGACCTACCTCCAAGTTCCAGACCGATTGACTGTCTTCTTTATTACCAGACTGTAACTGAGACATTTCTGCTTCTTTTGTCTTCAGAAACTCAAGACTTTTACCTCCTTTGAACTACGGACGTCAATTTGTACATGTATCCTTCATACCCTGATCAAATATTGTTTACTCTAGAGCGAATCAATGGGTAAATACATTACCTCTAGCCTTAAGTACCGTCTGACACAAAGAAAACATCTCCCAAGTGTTCTCACAATAGATACTACATCATTTTACATCCATTTCAATGGCTTTGATATCATTTTCAAATTGCATACATGTAGCAAATTGAAGGACTGTCTGTTGGATAACTTGAGAGATTGCCAAAGGCTGCTAAAAAAAGAAAGAACAAGGGTGGTGTTTAAAAAACACACCGGCGACGTATTTTAATAATATAATTATTACCTTCGCCAAGAAGGTTATGTTTTCAGAGGCGTTCGTGTATGTGTGTGTGTGTCTGTGTGTCTGTAAACACGATAACTTGAGAAGGCCTTGATGGATTGTCTTGATATTTGGTAGGTGGGTAGGTCTTGATGAGACCTCAAAATGATTAGATTTGGGGCCCCCTAGCGGCTTGTTATGGTACTGCAGCTAAACTTCCGGTTTTCATATCTCATGATCTAGACATGTTAGGGTGACGAAATTTAGATGGTAGGTAGCTCTTGTGCTGGGGAAGAAGTGACGTGAGTTTAGACCCCCTAGCGGCTTGCTCTGGAACTGCAGGGCTATATGTTTGAAAGTATTCAAAAGAGGATAACTCAAGAACCGGTTGATAGATAGTCGTTATTGTTGGTATGTAGGTAGCTTACGTGATGCTTGATA